TGGGGTGTCCCCCAGGGAGGGAGAAGGCCCCAGTACGCATTGCGCTGATCAGGGAAAGGAGCGAGGACACCCTGGGGCTGGGGCCTCTGTGCGCAGACACTGACCGCCCGCTGGGCCGACACGTCCGTCGTCACTCCTGGCCCCTCGGTGGGATGGCCGTCCCTGCCGACCTCGGTGGGCGTCCTTCACCCCACACGTCATCGAGCCCCACTTTTGTCCCCCGTGTGCCAAGTCTTACTGTAGCCCTTCCGGGGGCACCGAGGTAGGCAGGACCCCATGAGCCCTAGCCCTGCCCAGCCCCCCATCCAGCCCCGCTGGAGACTAGGGGCGAGGCCCACGCAGCTCACCGCCGCCTCCACAGAGGCTCGGAGGACAGGACGGGCGGGCAGAGACTGCGAGAGCTTCCCACTTACACCCTTGCCCCAAGGGCCTCTGTGAGCATCCTGACCTGACACCTGTCCCTCCCAACAGGACGCCCCGAGACAGCACGAGGCCAGTTCCCAGTGGACCGGCCGGAGCCGCCCCTTCAGAGCTGCCTGTAGAGGGCCCGGGGCCCAGCGACAGGAGGTGAGGAGGGAAGGCAGCGAGACTGCCAGTCTCTGAGGACAAGCCCCGGGGGCCCCGCGCTACAGGACAGGGGGGCCCTGCTCAGCGGCCAAGGGAACTGCCAACCAGGTGGACAGCGTGGTCGACAGAAATGACAGATGGCGGCCCCCTCTGACCCTCCCCAGCACCCTTACTTCCACTTCACACAAGACAACGCTGAGGCCGGGAGTCAGACAGGAACAGAAACCCCACTCCACACCTTCCGGCAGTCCTGGGAGGGGATGGGGACACCGGCTGGGTCCTGGGGGGGGACAGGTGCCTCCCAGGGCCGTCACAGCTGCTCTCACTGGGGACGTGGGCCAAAGCGCCCAGGAGGACAGGCAGCAACAGGACTGAATGGCTCCCCCTGCCTGCTGAGCACCTGCNGGGGGGGGGGGGACCCAGGCAGCAAGGGCAACGTGACTGGGGCAGGCTTCTCTCAGAGGGAGGTCAGTGGCTGCACGTGGGGGGAGAGGGCTGGGGGCCGTGGCATCAGTGCACTTAACCCTGGGACAGTCCCTCCCTCCCATCGGACAGAGAAGGAAAGCAAGAGTGGGAGCCACAGTCCCGCCCCCGAGCCAGCGCCCCCCAACTGCTCCCAGCCACAGGGAGCCTTCAAGGCAAGCCCCCCACGGCCCCCCGCAGGAGGCCACCGAGGAGGCCAGCTGTGAGCTGTCCCCTGGGGTCTCCATCTGTTCACATCACAGCAGAGGGCCACACGCAAGATGGCATCGGGCCCACCTGAGCAGGGTGGCTCACGTCCTAGAGGGCTGTGGTGGCAGCTCCAAGTCACTCCCACCCCACTTCCCTGGGGGACATGGATTCCATTAGCAAATGGAAGTCACCGGCCACCATTCAGGAGGCTGCAGGCTTTGCACTGGGGGCTGGGGTGGCGGGGACCGGAGGGTGGGGAGCAGCGCAGGAGCAAGGACCGTACAGCACGGCGGCTGAGTGGCCGCGAGGTGGGACCCAGACTCTGGAAGGATGCCCTACAGGGGACAGACACGGTGGCTGCCCCTGAATATGGGGACCGTAGGCACAGCAGCTACAAACACCTGAGGGCTGCAATGCGGGTCCATGAGCAGCCTGGGCCCAGAGACCCCAGAGGCTGGCTGTCGTCAGCTACAGGCCGCCCTGCCCGCTGGGACAGCAGCACCCAGCAGGGGCGTGCAGAGGGGGCCCGCTCCTCTGGACAGCGGGGTCCGGCTCGGTCCACCCAGCCTGGCCCGGAGCCCCAGGCCAGACCCGCCCACCTTGGCTGAACTTTGCACCCGGCAGCATCTGGGACTGAGAGGGACGCGCACCTCCCCCCACCCCCACCCCCACCCCCCAGGGTTCTCCTGTAAGCGCCCGTCACCCGTCACCGGGCACCACGTGCCGATGCTGCCCATGGCCACGCTCCCAAGGCTGCACGGGGAAGGGCTCCACCACAAAAGTATGAAAGTGAAACCTTCTGTGGTTAAATAGCTGAGGCAGGACACTTCCTCAAGTCCCGCCGCAGCCCAACCTGGCGCACACGGGAAGGGGCAGAGCCTGGAGGCGCCTCGATCCTTGTCAGAGCATCAGAGCATTGGGCGCTCAGGGGCATGCCTGCCCCAGCGCCGGGGACACCCCTGGGGACCCCCGCAGCTCCCAGGCACCGGCGCCCTCCCGCACATGCAGGGAAAGGGAGGGAGAGGGCTCTACTGGGCCTGCAGCACTTCCAGAGGCTTCGCCCAAAGACACACACCCTCCAGGCAGAAGAAGTGGAATCTGAATAGAATGGGCATAAGGCACATCCCAGGGTGGGTCACATGCCCCCCAAGGCCCAGGGGCTCCCCAAGGGTGCCTCTCGCTCTCCCGGGTCGCAGGGTGTGCAGCACGAGCTCCCGGCCAGGAGCCGTGGCCACGCTCCCCACACTCCGCTAGCCGCCTCAAAGCCCTGGGAGGCGCGCCCTTCCCACCAGGGCTACCACACCCCACGCCAGATTCCGGGCCTTTCCATTGCCCTTCGGGGGCCGGCACAGCCGACAGGAAGCCTGTGGAACTGACCGCCCTGCTTTATTTAGAAATCGCAGACCCGCGGCGGCTCGCTCACTGCACCTCAGGGGCCGGGGTTCCGGGGAAGACCTCGATCTTCAAACAAACCCGCCCTAAGGAACAGACAAGGGGCCCCTCGGTGCTTGGCTACCAGGTGACAGAAGCGTGACAGCGAAGGACTTAGAAGCAGAAGCCAGACGCGCCTGCCTGGGCCCCTGTCCCAAGAGCTCCTAACTGGGCATCAGCCCACAGGCCAAGAGCTTCTCTCACAGACAGAACTGAGTCTCAGGACTGGCCCCGCATAGCTGCACCTCTACTCTTGCTCCAGCCCAGATGAGCGGGTGACAAGGCACCAGGCCTAGAGCCACAGCACCGAGAGAGCGAATGTGTGCGTCGCACAGGCTCACACATACGTTGCCTACTGAACGCAGCTTTCCGGTGCGCAGATGAGAGTGGCCACTTTGTAAGCACTCACCAAACACTGGGCAAGGCCGTACCCAGCTCCACAGCCCGCGCTGGACGCCTGAGGGGCGGGGGTCCCCATGGGGCGATCCTGTGTCCAGGGCACACCAGGCATTCCTGCTGTGCTCCCGTGACACACACTCCCCTTCGGGCCTGCGAGCTCACCCCTTCCGTTTTCCTATCTGCCCTCCCCTGCCCAGCCCGTCACAGCCTGAGACAGGTGCGGGGCCCCCACAGTGCAGGCTGGAGGGGGGAGGGGGGTGCTGGGGGCCTCTCTAGGATCACAGGGCCGCGGAGGCGCCACCCCCACCTGCAGGCAGGCACAGACACGGTCCGCAGGCTCCCGGGAGGGACACTGGAGACGCACCCCAAGGCTACAGAAGCATGAGCTACTGACCCGCCTCCAGGGACCCCATTTGGCCCCAAGCCTGGGTGCTCAGGAGGGTGGCGGGAGCACTCGGAGGCTCTCAGCCCCAAGGCAAAGGCCAACCGACACTGCCGCTGACACTGCCATTAACATGCCGATAACTCCTGAAGCCCCCCTCCCACAATGAAGTCTGCGTCACGCTGCAATACCACCCAGAGCCATGCTGTCCCCTTACATGCCCCTCGGACCCACTGCAAGTCTCCCCCAACATGATGACTCCTCTCTGCCTGTCTTTTCCGCAAGGCTGGCCCGCTGGGACAGTCTTTAAGTAAACCAGGATGTATGTTTGGAAGAAAACAGGGTAGGTACCTCATCCAGTGGGGGGCCCACGCGGGGTTTCCGCAAGCGGGAGAAGCCACGCATCTCCCTCCAGACCCGCCACCTCCCAAAGGGCCACCAAGTGCTCAGTCACCTGTGGACTCCGCTCCTCTAAGCCCTCGTCCACTCTCTGGGTGCACCACCCCCTGCCCTGCGCCAGCGCCCGACTCCCATCCTGGGCCCATCCAAGCTACGCCTGAGGGCCAGTGAGCAGCTGCGGCCTTCTCCCCCGTGCAGGGAGCCGGGCAGGGCAAGGGCTTCTGTTTTGTAAACGACCTTCCTGCCTTTGGTGGCCGAGTCCTGCAACAGCCCTGGGTAGGGTGACAGCACTTCGGGTGACAGCACTTCGGGTGACAGCACTTCGCCAACCGCCGGGCCTACTTGTCCCGACAACAGGTGTGCCCTGGGGAGATGGAGGCTGGGACCCGGACGACTGGTGCAGGAACCTTCCCCAGGAGGAGGCCGGCCAGGGAGAGCCCGCTCCCACCACACAGAAGGAAGGGGTTCGGGGAAGGTTCTGAGAATCTGCACAGGTCCCCGCACCCTGCCCTCCGCCTGAAACAGAAACCCTGAGGGAACGCGAGGGCGGCTGCTCCCGGAAGGGATGTAAACCGTTCAGGGAGGTTTTCTCCGCAGCGGGAATGGGGCGCTAGACGGGGGGACAGACCCCCGCACGTAGGATCAGGGCTCCACCTGCTGGGAAGAACCGAGACAAGATCCCGGGAGGTGAGGGGCACGGCCAGTGGATGACAGCCCAGAGGTCTGGCGCTGAGCAGATGCGGGGGCGGCGAGGGGGGCACTCGGTAAAGCAGGGACAGACGGCCAGCCCTGTGTGCAGAGGGGGCTCCTGCGGTGCGAAGTGGCACAGGGCTGACCCTCGAGGGCTCTGGGACCCCTCCCGGACGGCAGAGGCAGAGGCAGCGGCTGACCCACAAGGGCCCGGACACCTGATGTGGACAGAGCAGGGGCTGACCTGGAGGGCTCCCGAGCCCCGACATGGACAGCACAGGCACGGCCGGGCCCGCGGGGGCTGGGACGCGCCGCGGACAGCACCGGCGAGGCCGGCCCGGAGGAGGCTGGGCCCGCCGCGGACGGCAGGGGCCGCGGGCAGCGCGGCGGGGGCGGCCCCACCCGGCCGGCGCGGACGCCCGCTGGCCAGCGGGACCCCGGCAGGCCCGGCCCCACTCACCGAGCAGCAGCAGCTTGAGCTCGCGCCGGGCGTCGCGCTTGTCCCGCCGCAGCTGCTTCTCGATCTCGGCGTTGATCCGCTTGGACTCCTTCACCTCATCGCTCAGGCAACACGCCATCATGGACTCCAGAGTCATCGTCCCGGCCCCGGCCGCCCGCCGGCCGCCCCCGCTGCCGCCGCTGCCGCCGCAGCCCCCCGGCCCGCCCCTGGCCCGGAGCTGCCCCGGCCGCGTCCGCCTGGCCCTAGGCGTTCGGCCCCCGGGGCCGGCCGGTCCGCCTCGGCCGCCTGCGAGCGCCGGTCCCCGCTCAGCAGCGCACTCCCGCCCAGCCGCCCCGCGCCCGCGCCGCCGCCGCCGCCGCCGCCGCCGCCGCCGCCAACCGCAGCCGCCGCGACCGAGCGACAGCGGTGCACAACCTAACCCGCTTCTGGACAACGCCGACAGGCGGGCAGCGCGGCCAATGGGAGGGGGCAGTGGCCCGCGCGCCCGCCGCGAGGGCGGGACTAGCGGCTGCGCTGGGCGGGGCGACGCGCGGGCGGGGCGGGGCGCGGCGGGCGCGCCCGCGGGTTAGGTTGCGCCGACGTGGGAAGGGGGACGCGCAGCCGGGAGCCGGGCGGGGCCGCCCGGGATTGTGGGAATGTGGCGGACTCGGCCGGCCGGCTCGTCTGTGCTCGGCCACGCTCGGCCCCACTCGGGTGGCCCGCTGGTGTGGACCCCGTCGCTGCGGTCGCCGGACTTGGGGACCTCGGCCCGCCGCGAGACGCTGGGGTGCCAGCGCTCACGGTCTCCCGGGAGGCGCCCTGGCATTGCCTGGCCGGAAACGAACCTTCCTCTCATCCGTTAAGCATTAAGGAACGCCTCCTGTATATGGGGCCCGAGCCCAGCACTAAAGCAGCGTCTGATATATGCGAAGAAGGAAACAAGCATTAATGGAACACCGACTATAAACCAGGCATTACTTCAGCGCCTACTGTATGCCAGCCACTTAAAAAGCGTTAGTGCAGTGCCTGCCATCTGCCAGAGTATTATGTTTCATACATATTTGGAGCAAGCATTAATGGAGAGCCTGCTGTAAACCAGGCATGGATCAGGTATTAATGCAGCACCTGCTATGTGTGACCTAGGCATTAGAGCAGCACTTTCCAACTAGGCATGGGCCGAGCACTAATGTAATACCTGCTATATACCCGACAGGGCTAGAACATTATGGAGCACACTATGCATGGACCAGTGCAGTGCCTGCTGCATTTCAGGCAGCGAACTAGCATTAATGAGATGCCTATTGCATACCAAGCACCACTTTAAGCCCTTTAAACCAGCCCTACTACCCGGTTGATTTTACTGGAACGTAGCCAGGCCCTTTCACTTATGTATGGACCTGGGCCTCTTTCACCCTGAACCCATGGACTTGTATAGTTCTAACAGCCCTAAAACACTTGCCATCTGGCCTCTTACCAAAAGAGACCTAGAACAAGGTTCAAACACAGAGATGGTGCTCAATCAATGTGTTTTGAATGACAGAGAATAAAAGAAGTGTTCCTGGTGCAAAGACCCATTTTACAGACAAGGAAACTGCGGCTCCACTAGGAGCCTGCGATGGTGTCTCTCCCAGCCCTGACCCGGCGGGACCCCCACCTCCTCTCCCCACCTGGCCGTGCCCAGCTCCGATCCCACACCTTCCGAGCTGCACCTTGACTTGCTGTTCTAGCCTATTTTGAGATATGAGGTGAGGGGAGGGTCAAAGTCTCCATTTATTAGTTGATTGGGTGTGTGGGAAGGTTGGCTCCTTGCAGCTCTCATCTCTGGGGCTTCCATCCCCACACAGCGCCAGGGCAGGGGGTCCCTGGGGCTCCCCCCACCAATAGACAAAAGCGCCAGGTGTCATTTGTCATCCACAGGAACCACCAGACCGTGAGCTCCAGGAAGGCAGTGACCATGTGTGTCTAGGTCACCATGGGGTCCCCAAGTCCACCAGAGTCTTGGGCCTCTTTCCCACCCCGTGACACTCCTGTGTGCCAGGTGCTGTCTGGATGGTGATGAGCGAAATCACTTACTCATGGTGTGAGCTCCACGTATACGGGGGACTTTGTCCATCTCGTTCCCTGTGGTGCCCCCAGCACTAACACAGCACCCGGCATACAGTGGGTGCTCGATAAATGTTTAAGAAAACAGCAAAGGAGCCCAGCTCTCTTGCACGCTTCTTCTGTTTCTCTGGAGGAAAAAGCAATCATTGTAATTTCATCCCTTCCGTGTTCCTGTTTCTTGCTGCTCTTGGCCGCCTCCATTTGCAGGGCTTAGACCTCGGGATGGAATCTTCCTTTGGAGGCTCACTCTTGGGTGGACTGTAGGTGGGTGACTGAACTTCTCTGGGCGTGTTTCCGCATCTTGAAAGTGGGCGTAATATTCGCTTTTTTTCAGAGTGCTATTGTAAGTAGCCAGGGAGATGATTCTTGAGAAGCATACAGTAGAAGCTTAACGTTTGCTTAAATATCTAAATACTAATGGACGGTGGTAGATAACCTCTAGAATGGCCCCCAGAGAGCCCTGCTTCCTGGTATTCATGGCCTTGTGTAGTTCACCTGCCAGCTAGGATGTGGCTCGAATTTAGTGATTGTGATTTACTTCTGAGACATAGAATGTGGAAGATGTGGGTTCAAGGTCTTGGTAATACAGCGTTTCTAGTCTCCATCTTGGACTCCCTCCTGGGTTCTCACTGTCTGCTAGAGAAGCTGGGTGGGGTGGAGTGGAGGCTCCCCTGGCACCCAGTGAGGCCCCAGCGGGGGGAAGGGGGAGAGAGAGGGGGACTTCAGATGAAGCCCCCTGACAGTGTGACTGCCATTTCACGAGGGACCTGACCAGAACCATCCAGCCAAGTGCTTCCAAGCTCTGGCCCTCAGACACCATGGGAGGTGATGAATGTTTCTCATTCTAAACCATCGGGTTTGGAGGGAGATTTGTTACACAGAAGTTAGTAACGAACACGTGCACCCAAGAGAAATGAAAACAGAAAACACTGGCCCATCAAAGGCCTGCCCACAGGGGCCCCCGGGGGCTCAGTCGGGTGAGCCTTAGACTTTGGCTCAGGTGGTGATCTCACGGTTCGTGAGTTCGAGCCCGGCATCGGGCTCTGTGCCATCACACAGATCCTCTGACCCACCCACTGCCGTCTTTCTCTGCCCCTCCCCCTCTCACACTCTCAAAAATACAATTAGAAAAAAAAATAGACCCCAAAACTTCAGAGCAGCTTTGCGCGGAACATCCCTAAAGTGGGGGCGACCCAAGGGCCCCCGGGAAGGTGAGTGGGCAGGTGTGGTCCGCCCACACACTGAAATATTACTCAGCTGTAAAAAGGGAAAAACACACAACAGCGTGAATGACCCTTGGGTGCCTTCTACTGAACAGAAGAAGCCGGACACAGAAGAGGGCGTGCTGTTCGATTCCATTTGTGTAAAATCCTGGGAAATGCCAAGTTCAGAAATGTGGGGTGGTTACAGGGAGGCTTCCGGTTGCCTGGGGGGTGGGGGTGAGGACATGCAGGGGCACAGGCGGACTTTCTGGGCTGATGGACCTGGTTTTTCGCCATTTTGTTGTGCCGGTGGTTTCACGGAGGTAGACACGTGACAAAAGTCCGCTAATTGTCTACTTTAAATCTGAGATTCTGGGCGCCCCAGGGGCTCAGTCGGTTGAACATCCGACTCTAGATTTTGGCTCAGGTCATGTTCTCGGCATTGTGGGTTCAAGCCCCACGTTGGGCTCCACGATGAACATGGAGCCTCCTTGAGATTCTCTCTCTGCCCTTCCTCCCACTCTCAAAGTAAACTTTTTTTAAAAAGTTACCTTAAAAATAAATTCATGTGAGGGGCGCCTGGGTGGCTTAGTCGGTTAAGCGTCCGACTTTCGCTTAGGTCATGATCTCGCGGTTCGTGGGTTCGAGCCCCGCGTCGGGATCTGTGCTGACTGCCAGCTCAGAGCCTGGAGCCTGTTTCGGAGTCTGTGACTCCCTCTCTCTCTGACCCTCCCCTGCTCACGGTGTCTCTCTCTCTCTCTCTCCTAGAAATAAATAAAAAATATTAAAAAAAAAAAAGAAAAGAAAAGACTTTAAAAAATAAATAAATAAATTCACGTGATGCAATAAGACAGACCCATCAGGGGCGCCTGGGTGGCTCAGCCGGTTGAACGTCCGCCTTTGGCTCAGGTCGTGCTCTCACAGTTCATGGGTTTAAGCCCTGCGTCGGGTTCTGTGCTGACAGCTCAGAGCCTGGAGCCTGCTTTGGATTGTCTCCTTCTCTCTCTGCCCCTCCCCCACTCATACTTTCTGTCTTTCTGTCTCTCTCAAATAATAAACATTAAAAATAAAATTAAAATAAAATAAACGTGAGATTCATTGCACATCACTTAAACCTTCATAAAGTTGCAAAAGAAAAAAATGTTCCAGAAGGTGGTACTTGTAAAGTACACAGTGGGTGCTTAATAAATGCTTAAATGTTTAAAGGGATACTGAGGCAGAGGCGGGCAGCATTGGGACTGCAGCTGAGGGCAGGGAGAGGCCGACCCCGAGAGGAGATCCCTGTGTTCTTGTTCTTGGGTGCACCCTCCCTGCCGCAGGGGGGGGTGGGAGAGGGGGCCTGGGGGAAGGAAGTAGGGGGGGCTTCAAGGAGCAGATCCACAGGGGCTGTCTCCTCCTTCTTTTCCGTTCGCCAAGTGCCTGCCACAGTCTGGGAGCTGGGCATGCACCAGGAAGCGCCCGGTGGGTAAACAGGGAAACTGAGGTCCACAGAGAGACGGTGAACTGACTCCGGGGCCCAGCCCGTTGCTAAACGCTGACTCGGGCTTCCCCACCCAGAGAGACAAAGTCCGGGCCGCCGCGCCTCACCTCGGCGGCCGGGAGGCCCTGCCTTCCGGCTCCCGGCGGCCTCTTGGCCTCCTCTGTCCTTGGAAGTTGGCCTCCCTTCCCTGAGGAGTTCAATTTTATGAGGGGTCCAGAGGCTGGCGAAGAGGCCTCTTCTGGGCACAGAGCAAAGGTGAGGGGCCCCAGGCTGGGGCAGGCAGGTCCGAGGGGCACCCCTAGGGTCAGAGCCCCAGCGACAGATATCACAGCACTCGAGTCCCCGACCTTCTTCAGACCTCGGCGCTGATTTTCTAGAAGAGCAATCACCAGGCGCTCCTGGGGGGCTCAGTCAGTTGACCGCCCGCCCAACTCTTGATTTTGGCTCAAGTCATGGTCTCTCAGTTGTTGGGTTCGAGCCCCGCGTCGGGCTCTGTGCTGACAGTGCGGAGCCTGCTTGGGATTCTGTCTCTCTCTCTCTCTCTCTCTCTCTCTCTCTCTCAAAAGATAAACTA